CACTGCGTGTGTGGCGGTGGCGTTCATCCAAGTCTCGATGTCAGCAGCACGTCTATGACTCGCGCTGTTTCACACATCTGTGCTATGCATACACACGCGCAAATGCCACACACGAGACACAGGAAACCACTTGGCCCGAGCGACCAGGCTGGTTTACTCACCATTCTCTGAAACGAGGTTAATTGTTTCGCATTGTGAATGCATGACATCTCCACAACGCATTGTTAATGATTGCCGCCGCATGATGTTAACACCACTGAAACCACCCAACAGACAGCGACACAAGCAGCTGTGGCTCTTGTGGTGACCAAAATGGAAACAATCCTACCAGGAATGAGCGATTGTCCCGATCCCATCTCACGCAACGGCGTTCGTCGTTCAGGCATCGAATTTCAGGCGTCCCAATTTATATCTGACGCCTCCATACACACACACACACACACACACACGCACACACACACACACACACACTAAACCTCCGCAATCTCACTGTGGTACGTAATGTTCATAAACCATTTGAGTTGTCGATGATAAGACCGCGAGTTGAGACCATCACCGGGTCTGCCACAACCGTCTTGATTATGAATTCGTGAATACACGCGCAATCGGTAAACATCCTGCAAGAGCTCTAAACACGACAGTTGGTTGGTTGACTTGTTGGCGTTACGGTGCCAACGAAATTGCCACTTAACTGAGTGCAGGTGGTCGGAATTAACAAGATCGCACCTGTTTATCCAACACGCACTCTCTTCACTCATCACCTCTCGTGCACATCTGCCCTTACATGGCACCAATCACATCGATTTTGAACCAACATCTGCAATGTCATTTGCGCACACTCACAGCCACCGCTTCTCTGCCCTACTTGATGTTTACGCTTCGTTGACATTCGCATGGACAAATCTCCTGCTCTACTGTGGGCATCTTTAATCGGTTGGTCGCACTTTGGTAGTGTGGCGTGCGAGCACGTTTCTGCGTCCTGATGTTATTTCAAATCAGAAGAAGTCCACCTCAGGTCACAACTCCACTTACATTCCATCATCACGACATCGTGGCCTGAGATGTTGGGTCAAACGCTGGTATCATGTGATGTTTTTCCTGTCAAGAGAACACTTTTAAGGCTGTACTTGTTGACGGTCAATCGTGTGGCCTGGTATAGCTGCATTGGACTTTGTTGTCGTCAAAATTGGCAAATAAGCACACGTCGTGTCCAAGAGCGTGCAATGAATGCGTGTTGATTGCCAGAATCTCGCCCCACCAAACTGGGTTTCACTTCGCCAGTCCTCACACATTTACACATGAGCAGTTAGACACACCCACACACCAAACTGCAAACTGATTTTTGTGGGACATAGAACACATCACCGCCTCATTACTCCAACCTCCGTGTTATGCGCATCAATTTGTCGATTGAAAGATTCTTGAGCCTCGACGGAAACGTGCAGCGTCCGTCAATCCATCCTGTGGACCAATTTCCATCTGCTCCAACTTGCCTGCAACCACGTGTCAACTCCATAACTTCACACTTTTAAATTGGATGTTTTGGCATCGTTGACATTGGCATGGAAACACAGTCGAGTCAGCAATGAGTCGGAGAGTGATAGTGTGAGAGAGAGATAGTGAGAGAGAGAGAGAGAGAGACTGAGAGACGACGGGTAAATGCATGCTATTGAAACAGACCATGAGGTGTCGACACGCCGTATTGCGTGCGTGTCACAGGGCTTCAGCGCATCCTGCCTCCATGGCAGCTAAACAAAATGCACGTAATGACGTTACTGCAGTCGATAATTGTCTGTGGTGGATTGTGTTGCCTTATTTTACTGTGACTGTACCTCAGAGGCGCCGTGGGAAGCTGATTCACTCCAGAAAATTAACAGTTTCTCCGGCAAATGCCAAACTCAATAAGCTTTTGCAGGAACGCATTTCACAAATCTTGGTCAATTTCTCCACGCATTTCCTGTTTCAAATCTTTTTATTCAACTCTAACGTGCACTCTAGATTTCGAGTTCATGTTTCGATAGCACGCGAAGTGGCATTTGTAGGTGCACCAAGGGCCAATCTATCGGAAATTTGAATTTCCACAGAAAAGTCACAAAAATACTGGATGAAAATAAACTAACCACTCTTTTTTGAAATAAAATAAATCCCCAAATAAGCCTTTTAAAATTGTTTAATTTTGACAACTGGATCCTGCTAGATTTGCATGACTTGAAGGTAGAGTGGTGCAGCTTCATTGCCTAGTTTGTAAAGTGATGTGCGTGGTTTACGAGAATGTCCCGTGGAATTTTCAAGATTAGATCCACTGTCCAGTGGATTTCCCTGATTTTTTCCTCAACCTCCCAAGCAAGGCTTTGGGGTGCGAGTCGAGTCATTTCAAAATCGTTGTGCTCTCGCGGTCAAGGTATTCAATGTCGCCCTCCTTTAGTTCCAGTTCTGAGGTGTGTACTGAAGCTTGAATCATGTACGCAAAGGATTCGAGGTAACGCCGTTTTTCCATGAGTTGTTGCACCATCACATCGCCTGACAGTGACCTTGAGAAGTCCCTGCACACCCAGCACTTCGTTTCTGGTGAGAGACCCGTTTTTTTTATGAACAGTTGCTTGTACGCGTCAGATCGCGTTTCATTTACCAACCAGGCCTTTACTATTCCACTTCTGTCAACCTTAAAATCAACGCTGACGTCTTGAACATCACCAGTGACTGGACGCTGATCCAAGATATCAATGGACCCTAGATAATTGTTTAGAGGTGGCTGTGCACAATCGCCTTCGTAAAGCTGCAAGGAAAGTTGAAATTTCTGTCCATGTGAACTCGTTGAAAACGCATGCCTAGAAACACATGGAATTGGCGTATTCCTGAGTATCAAGGGGGACAAAATCGAATCTGGCAGCTCGACTCCAATGGTGCGATTGATCACGTCATTGACCCTCATCAATGTGGAATTCTTGCCGGCAAGATGGGCCGCGTACAGGGCCGCGCCATGGACCACTGTCTCCTCACAATGAAAAGACTTGTTTATTTGCTTTTTGCTGAACATTTCGCTGATGAGGACAATAACCTTCCGCATTCGTGTGGAGCCACCTAGAATGACCACATCGTCGACGGCGTCTCTGGTTAACTTGGCTGTACGGAGGGCTTCGTCAATGGGTTCCATAGCTTTGGTGAACAGATCGGCACACATCTCTTCGAATTCCGTGACCGTGACAACAGCACTGAAATGGGAATTGCGAAGCAGCTTAGTAAATTCAACTTGATATTCCAGGGATACACTTAGCTCTCGTTTGACACGATCGCATACATGCATAAGTCGTCCGAACGCTTTCTTGTCTGAGGCCAGATCTACGCCGTCATTCTTGAGGATGCGTTTGGCGACAGTAGTTGTCAGTCGTCGAGTAAATTCTTTGCCACCCACGTCGAGGTTGCCTGCCGTGCCAAGGATTTCCACGTCGTTCTTCCTCACCCTAGCAACAGCAACCGACACATGCCCACCTCCAAGGTCATAAATGAGTATGTTTTTCGGCTCATCAGTCGTCTCAGCTGCATACGCTATCGCAGCAGCTGTAGTCTCATTGAGCAAACCCACCACACGCAGACCTGCAATTTCACCAGCATCCACTACGGCCTGTCGTTGAGCATCATTGAAGCAAGGAGGAACGGTAATGACAACCTTGTGGATGGCGTGTTTGACTGTCTGCTCTGTGAGCTCACGCATCTTGTGAATGAGGACGGCGGCTATTTCCTCTGGACGGTACTTGCCAGCAAGAATGATTTGGTTGCTGTCATTTGTAGTGACTCTGAAAGAGAGTTGGTTAATCTTGCCCACGATCTCTGAATGACGTCGACCTAGGAGACTCTTAATGCTGACGATGGCACGATCTGGATGTCGCATGGCCTCCATTCGTGCAGCTAGACCCACGAGTCGAGCACGATTGAAGAAGGCTACATAGCTGTGTATGGAATGACATCCACCACCACAACCATCCAAGTCAGCGATCACCTGGACACGTGCGTCAAGTGGACGGTAGATGGCGGCACGGCAGAAGTTGTTGCCCAAGTCAATGGCCACCGGTACATTCATTGTCTGGACACATGTGTCAAATGAAATTACCTGAGTTAGCTCAAATGACCTGATGCACGCAGTTGCTAGAAGGTGATTTTTGGTTAATGTCTATGTCTGGGTGTTTGTCACGCAGATGTCACGGGACGAAATCAATAGTTGCATTTACCACGTGACCTCGCCAACATTGTCCTGTCACCTGACGCATCCATGACGTGGTTTGGCATGCAGGTGCGTGCGCGAACGCACGTTGTGGTGGTTATTGAGTTCGTAACTATGGCCTATTCGCAACATTCGTATCTTATGGAAGATTTAGTTAAGGGGCTGAAGATCGTTGAATCCGCTTACAATTAGCACCTGGAGCAACTGTGACGTTGGGTGATAAAGCCATGTCAAGTGAACAAGATATGCTATTTTGCTTTCGAGGGTAGTGGAGTTACGCGAAACAGCAGTGGTGGCTTTGAATAACACGACTGTGTTGTGCTATTTTAGCGACAATTTAATCGTTGTTTGCCTTAATGGTGAAGTGACACGTCTTAATGTGAAATCACATTAACACGGATGCATCAACAGCAGTCGTGCTGGGTTGTCACAGCATTCCCATTTTGTAGTGGCCGGTGGCAAGAAATGGCATGCATCCCAAATGCTTCATCGTGAAGCGCTCTGTCTTCATTTTAATAACCTATAACAGTAGATTCGTAGTCGTTCGCCCCGCATATGACCACATTTACAACGCCAATAATCATCACTCTCGTGGACAACCACTCACTACTACACTTGTCTACCGATTTACTAACTACCCATCATTTACAAAGACCCCGCCCACCAGTTAGCATGTTGTGCCAAAAACAAATGTCAAAAGTCAGGCATGTAGAAAAACAGCATGTCAAGGAGTTGTGGTTGTAGTGGAATACAAACGAGTCAGCAGAGCACACGCGATGACGCTGTCACTGAGCAAGGGAAGGTGACCAGATTTGTCGAAGGTTTTCACCATGGAGGAGGAGTCGGTGTTTCTCCATGACCTCTTTGATCTTCTCCTCGACGTCGGGGAGGGTGGCTCTAGGGTGTTTGGAGAGCCATGCAAAAAAGGCCACGCAACTCCTGCGCACGTAGTCATTGTCGGATTGCGCGTGCTTCAACTCAGACGGCGAGATGGCTAACCGCATTGCGTAGATTAGCTTCTCAAGGTGTCGACGGCGCTCCTTGAGGTGCTGCGTAGTAACTGCACCACTCTCTGTCGCTCTCACGAATCGCTCCTTCGCCAGGTGTTTGGCTTCTGGTGACAGACCTGTCTTCGTTAGTGTTAACGGTTTGACTGAGGTTGCGGGGGGATGTCTGGCGGCGAGAATGCCATCCACGTTCACCACGAATTCCACTTCGGTCTCGTAACCACCCACCTCACCACCTCCGCTAACGCTGAAGTGCGGGCTGCAGTCTTGCACGTCGATGGAGCCCAAGAATCTGTTATGTGAGACCAGCGCATGTTCGCCCTCGTAGAGCCTGATGGTGAGTTGTGCTTTTTTGGCACCCGGGCGAGTCCTGAGCGTCACAGGCACGACACAAGGAACCGGTGTGTTAGGTGGAATGAGGCCATGACTGATCTCGTCGGACTGTTCTATGGCGATAGCGTGTGTGAGAACATCATGCACTTTGAGTAAAGCGCTGGTCAAACCAGCAGTGTGGGCGGCATAGAGTGCTGCACCAACAACAATAGCCTCCTCACTATGGAGGCTTTTGTTGAGCTGCTTTTGATGGAAGAAGTCACGTAGGAGAGACTGAATTTTGGGCATTCTGCATGACCCACCAACGAGCACCACGTCATCGATTTGGTCTGCAGAAAGCCTGGCTGTCTGTAAAGCCCGTCTGACGGGTTCCACAGCGGCTTCGAGAAGATCAGAACACATGTCTTGAAATTCCACCTGTGTGAGGACTGTGGAGTAATTTACGTGGGGCAGAAGTTGTCTCACTTCGATAGTGGTCTGCAACTGGGTGCTGAGGCTGCGTTTGGCTCGTTCGCACGCAAACCGCAGACGATGGAAGGCGAGCTTCTCCTTGGACAGATTTCTGTCCTTGTCCCTGGCAAAATCGTCTGCCAATCTGGAGGCGATACGGCGGTCAAAATCATCGCCACCCAAAGTAGAATTGCCAGCAGTGCCGAGAACTCGACACTCACTCCCCGTGATCCTCACAACTGAGGCGTCAACGTGGCTCCCACCTAGGTCGTAGAAGAGCACGTGCCGCGGGGGGCCTGGCACAAGAGAGGAACTGCTGGAGGCATAGGCGATGGCCAGAGCTGTAGTCTCGTTGAGCAGGTGGACCTGGTTGAAACCGGCGATTTCTGCAGCATCCCTGGTGGCCTCACGCTGAGCGTCGTTGAAGCACGCGGGAACAGTGATAACGGCAGCATCCACGCGACAGTGCATCCGTTCTTCAGCCAAGTCTCTCAATTTGCTCATCAGCATAGCTGCTATTTCCTCGGGGTAGTAGCGCATTTCGAGCAGTTGTAATAGGTCGTCAGGGGTGACGGAAACTGGACAACAGAGGTCGGAGATAAGTTGGGTTACCTCGGAGGGCTGTCTGCCAAGAAGGCGCTTTGTCCAAAAGACACAGTGTTTGGGACGTCGAGCAGCCTCGACGCGAGCACTGAGACCGACCAGTCGCGAATTTCTGGCAAAAGCGACGTGACTATGGACACGGTTGCAGTATCCCTCGCAGTCGTGCAGGTCCGATAAGACTTCGACTTGGGAGTCGGTGGACCGAAATATGGCGACTCGGCAAAAAGAGTTGCCGAAATCAATTGCAATTGGTGGGAGCGGATGTCGACTTTGCAGCATGGAGTACACGAAATGTTTACATGCCACATGTACCACGACCCTGAAATTATCGATTATCCGCGACCTTGAGAACACGCGACTGAGTGAATAAGCTTCCCACGGCGCCTCTGAGGTACAGTCACAGTAAAATAAGGCCACACAATCCACCACAGACAATTATCGACTGCAGTAACGTCATTACGTGCATTTTGTTTAGCTGCCATGGAGGCAGGATGC